TTTGCTGTCTTGACGCTAACGTGAGTTGGTCGTAGAGCGGCTGCCAACGGGCATGTAGCTATTCGGCAATTGTTGCGGCCGCATCGAAGACAGCGTCGTTCCTGGCGTCGAGCATCGATTTCCTCTTGGTTGACCCATTTTGCTCGTTTTCCAATAAGTTCTCGGTCCTCAGGACGCCTAGATGGATATCCATTCATGTTGGTCTTGCCGCGGAGGCCGACAGCGTTCACTTGGGTAGTTGTAGGCTGCGTAGGTTCCCATTCCATCATGTCTTCAGGGGAAGCTGCTGTGAGAGTGGCATTATTCGATTTTGCTGGTGGTTCATAGGTTGGTGCATTTTCAGCAGTTCGGCTACCGTAACGACGGGTTGTTTTCGTCCATTGGCCGAACAACTCCATGTCGTTGCTAAGATCTACACACTTCTGAGCGAACCTTGCGTATGTGCTTGTTTCTGTCCCTGATGTACCAACAAGCCTATCCTTTATCCTACCACTTAATGCATTTCGTAAGTAGGATATCTTCGTATGCTCAGGCCAGCTTTCTGCGTCAGCGTTGGCCATCTCTTTCTCAAACCGTGGATAGAAGGAAATAAACGTCTCGTCGTCCTTCTGGCGTATAGAGTAGAGGTTCTGAATGGCTTTCTCCTTCCGATTTCGTTCGCCGTAGAGGAGTTCAAGGCGGTCAAGCAGCTTGAAAGGGTTTGGCGATTCTTCTTTAACTTGTATCTCGTAGTATGTTGTAACGTTGGTTTTCGCTGCCCCATCAAGACGCATGTAGACGTAGCGTAGCTGAGCTTTTAGGCTTCCAATAGCTTGCGCGTCTTCTTCGATCTTACCCTCCATCTCTAGCTTCCATCCTCGCCATTGTGATTTGTTTCCACCAAACGTAGGCGGGTGGGGTAAGCTGTGCCGCGGCTTTGGGATTATAGGCACAGATGTGTTCGAAGTCTCGGAGGTTGGCGTCGGATCAGTGGTGGCGTCTGTATTGTGACCAGGCGTTTGAGGTGGCTCGTGCGATGGTGCTTCCAGCCTCTCCATCCTAGTGCTCATGTCTTCAAGTCTCTGTAGTAGCGACTGTAACAGCTGGTTCGAATCGTTCGTCGTCATGTTAGTATCCCCGGGGGAGCTCATTATAACGGTGCCTTGGTTGCTGCGTGTTCTGCGTGTTCTGCGTGTTCTGCGTGTTCTTCTTGATCTTGACTGTATGTGAACGGTCTGTAGGAACTGTATTCCAGCTACCTAGTCCAGATGCTATTTACAGTCAAGATGAAGAAAGAAGGTAAGACGCGAGCGGCGAGCCCGCTTTGTTTGGGTTGGCGCACGGCCCTCTCGTTGCCGGGGAAGCGACTAGGCTCGCAGCCTAGTCATGTGACTTAGGGCTCAGCCCGTTACAACGAAGATGACATCGTCGGCAGGCGAAAAGTGCGCCATGGCTTCTGCGACACTGAAGAATCGGTCCCCGGCTATTTTCCCACCACCGTGAACATAATAGACTACTAGCCTTCCTGCAGGCCATTTGTGGCTCATCTTACGAATGCTTTGGTAAAGCGATATGGGTACGGGATGGTGACTAAGACCTATGATACCGGGAGCCATAAGGGTGGTATGTTGGTATTCCGGTTACTGTTGGGCAATGAATTCATTGTTGACTCCCATGGCCAACATTATCTTTCGTGTGGCTTCGAGGTCAAAAGTCTGGTCGGGATTGGGTAGACCACTGCCGTTCTTGTAGCATACATTGAATGGTGGGCGGACAGGCACGCCTGTCATGGTTATATTCTGCGTACGTTGCGAAAGAGAAGTTGGATTTGCTGATTGTTCGTGTGCACGGCAAGATGTTGAAACGTTGATGAAAATGGAAAGAGTACATACCTGAATCTCTTTACATGTCCCAGCTACTTGTACCATGTCTCCTGGAGCTATATTAGGGTTTCGTCCGCAGTGACCAAACTTACGGCTCGTAAGTTCTCCGAGATCCGATCCCGGATTTACAAGTACGGTCAGTGAGGCAAGGACTAGAGCAGAGATGCTAAGCTTTCGGCCGTGGGGCATAAATTAAACATCCTACCTCGTATGCCTACTCTACCTAGTCTGTAGATCCGATTCCAAGCATCAACAAAACGAAAAAGGAACTACGGAAGCCAAATTAAATTGACCTAGGACATTTCCCCTACGTTTGATCGGCAATGATTACTCATCAATGCCATCCAGGTCATAGTCCAATAGCAGGTATCGGTTGATAGCACCGTTGGTGAGAGACGGGAGTGCTTACGAGAACGGTGATCAGACTCCGCAACAATCAATCGATTGACATGATTGATTCCTATATAGGTTAAAGAATTACTTCATTAGGCAGCCTTTAACCTAGATAGGAATCAATCATGCCGATCCGATTGATTGTTGCGGAGTCTGACGGTGATATCCGGATACTTCTGCGACAGCGACAAAAGAGGAATTTACAACTTTGGAAGACAGTCGTGGGCCTTTGTAGCAAACGACCGATTCGCACAGCTATGTGATGGAGGTCTACTGTAACACGACGTATCCCAGTGGTGATACGCAACGAGTTGGGCAGGAAGTATCTATCTCACTAAGGTACGCGTCCTAACGTGATACGATTCCAGGCTGTGATAGATAGCTAGGTAATAGAAACATAGAAATTATTAACAGAGTAATTCTTGTATAGTAAGACATGCCCGTTGTATTTTAAGATAAGCTTTTTCATGTTACTCTAACCCATTGGTCGTGCTGCACCTATTTATATTTGGCAGCCCCTCTGAATAAAGCTTGAGAGCGATCTTTCGCATGTACAGCTCGCACGGCTCACAGTTCTGCCACCCATCATCGCGAGACAGATGCTCCGAACGCAATTCACATTCATCATCGTTAGACGTAGCGCTCGTGTCGATAGCTGAATCGAAGGAGCTCACACCGGCTTCAGCAGCGGCGGCAGCATCCTCTTCCTCCATCTTCTTCAACTCGGCTTCCTCCTCTTCTGGACGTAACCGTTCTGCCTCTTCTTTCTCCTGTCGCCTAGACTCCGCAACAATCAATTCAATCCGGTCACTCTCCTAGACCCACTTACCTATCTAGGTAGGGCTTAAACTCCTATAGGTAACTACTAGGCTTAAAGCGGTAATCAATCAATCCAATCTGAACCTTCTAGGACCCACTTAATTGATTGTTGCGGACTGTGCTGTCGCCTGATCTCAGCAGCCTCTTCTTCTTCTTTCTGGCGCTTCACATCTTCCTCTTCCTTCAACTTCGCCTCTTTGTCTAACTTAACCTTTAGCTTCTTCGCCTGTGCTTTACTAAGCCCAGTATAAGGATCTACCTCCACCTTTGGAGGTTCAGGTTCCGGCCCAAGTTCGGGTACGGGTTCAGGCTCCGGTTCTAGTTCTCCCTTCTTACCTTTCTTCTTCTTAGTGCCAGCAGCAGTCGCTCCCCATCCACCACCCCATGGATCCTCCTCTTGCAGTGATGCTCGTCGACGAC